GTTCTCATCATCTTTCACCTGGATGACTGCCACAGCTGCTTAACTGATTTCACCCAGAGTCCGTGCTTCACACAACAGCCAGAGTTGTCTTCCTGAAGACAAACTTTAACATAGTGATCTCCTGCTTTAAAACCTCTGTGGTACAGCCCACGGATACAAACTAAAACTTGTTGGCCAAGCATGCCAGGTGCTTCACAATCTGGACCCTACATCCCTTTGTCCAGTCTCATTTCCAGCCACTTGGGTACTTTCAGATTTTGATGAACTTGGGCAATAACTTGGGTACCTTCAGGCTTTTGCCAATTCATTTATCCTCTACCCCACAAAGCCCTACTGGCACAGTAACACTCAGCTTCCAAGCCACCTGCACTGACGTACTAAACACCATTCCCTCCCTCTCTGCGTCTCCAGCACATCTGACACATCACATCTTTTGCCATTGTTGGCCTGCATGCATGCCACCTCCTCAGCCTGAAGGGGACCATAGATGCAAGGACAGACCTGCCTTTACCTCTGTATGTCCCACATCTAGCTCAGTGTCTGTCCAGCTCAGTAAGGTCTCGGTGATTGTTAACTAACTTGATCAAGGAGAGCAAAATACTTGTGAGTACCAGGCTGAAGTCCAGAAGAATGAATGTATCCCATGGAACAAATATAAAACATGAAGGGTAAAAATAATGGATTTAGACAAGGAATAGAAAGAGGGGATGACAAAATGGAGAGAAACTGTATTTCCTTATAATAAGGAAGGAAAGGATAGTTCCTGCTTTTGCCTTGATGATAGTAAATAGAGGAACAAATGTTATTTTTAGTACTAGGAAAACTGTTCACTTTTAATTTTGTTTTAAAGTTAAAAAGAAGGAAAGAACATTTCATAAAACAGAAGGTATAACAGAAAAGAGACAACTAACCAATATATAAATTAAGAGACAAATTAATCTGTAGAAAACATAACAAATGCAATAGCACCCATAAATTAAAGAAGCTAAGTTCACACATAAGTTATAGAATCTTCAAGCTTGGCTGAACAGAAAAAATCCAACAATATTCTGCTTACAGAGATAAGCTCTGAAATAACAATGATGAAATTAGAAAATATAACAAAATCACTACACAAGAAATCTATAGACTATGAAAAAAAGAATAGAGGACAGGCATTGCTTTAAGTATTGTCAAAAAGCAAAAATAAAAACTAAAAATGCAACCCATAATCTTGAGAAACAAACAACCAAAAGGTAAAAATAAAACAAAATGGGACGAACTTTTCTTAAAAAGAAAAGAAGTAGGTATTTTGAAAGCAAAACCAAAGTACTTTGGAAGGACCCACAAGAAGCTCGCAGGAGGTGCTGCCCACGAAAGAGGACTGCGAGGGAGGAGGACACTGAGTTTCACTGCCTCCTCCTGTGCTTCTAAAGTTTTATATTTCAACTAAAAGTTCTGAGAAGAGACTAAAAATGATATTAGTACTAAATTTAGTTACAAAAAAGAATAAATGCATGAAACTGGACATAAAAAAACAGACATACAGGACATAAAAAAGCAATAAATAGGGAAATACTATGTATGTGTTAATAAATTTGGATAAAGCTAAAAAGATGGATTTTCCATTAAAAACAGAATTCTAACATTGACAAAAATAAAATACTTAACTAGACCAACACCTTGAAAAAATAAATAACTATACCTCCACCCCTAGAAGCAACTAGTCTCTGATGGTTTGTTAGTTGATCATTTCAAACTCTCCAGAAACAAACAACTCATAGAAATCATGCCTAAAATAGGTCAAGATATAGGTTATCTAGTTTACTGTACTAACCTGATCCTAAAACTGACTAAAGAAAATGAAGAGAAAAACTACAGATGAAACTTACTTAAAATTTAGGCTCAAAAATTTAAAAGAAAATAATAGTAAATAGAACCTAGGAATAGGTTAAATTTTTAAATTGTGTCATGTCAGCAAATACCAAAGTGTCATTTGTTAAACTCCAACAGCTATTCTTAATTTCAAAATTCTAAAACTAGTAATAAAGATATACTTTCTTACCCTTTTTAGAGTATCTATTTAAAACCAAATATCAACAATACACTTCGAGGAAGAAATGAGACAGGCAGCCAATAAAAATAGGTACACATATGATCCAGCAATCCCACTCCTGGGCATATATCCAGAGAAGACTCTAATTTGAAAACATACATGCACCCCCGTGTTCACGGCAGCACTATGTATAATAGCCCAGACATGGAACAATCCAAATGTCCATCGACTGACGAATGGATAAAGAAGATGTGGTATATATATATACAATGGAATACTTAGTCATAAGAAAGAATAAAATAATGCCATTTGCAGCAACATGGGTGGACTTACAGATTATCAGACTGAGTGAAGTCAGAAAGACAAAGACAAATACCATATGGTATCACTTATATGTGGAATCTAAAATATGATACAAGTGAATTTATTTACAAAACAGAACTTGCAGACATAGAAAACAAACTTATAGTTACCAGAGGGGAAAGGGGGAAGGGGAGGATATATTAGGAGTTTGAGATTAGCAGATACAAACTACTATACATAAAACAGATAAACAAAAAGGCCCTACTGTATAACATAGAAAACCATATTCAATATCCTGTAATAAACCATAATGGAAAAGAAATAAAAAAAAGAATATATATGTATAACTGAATCACTGCTGTACACCAGAAACTAACACAACATTGTAAATCAACTATACTTCAATTAAAAAACGAAAAAAGGCACAAAATGAAGCAGGATTTTATCATCACTGTTAATTAACACAGTGTCAGAAGTGCTTCTAATACAAAGCTACATGAAAACAAATGAGAAATACAAATATAGTAAAAGGCAGAGGCAAAATTTTTCTACATACATACCATTATATATTTATAAACCCAAAAGAATCACTTAAATGGTTATGATTAGTTTAAAGCAACAAAAGTCATCACCAATATAGAAAAGTCAATAGTATTTCTAGTCCTCACATTTGACCACACATGAAAATCACTCAGGCAGCTTTTTAAAATGCCAATGCTTACACCTCACCCCAGACAAATTGCCTCAGAATCTTTGGGGGTGGGACCAGACATTAGTGATTTACAAAGCATCTAAAGTGATTCTAATGTGCAGCTAAGTCGAGAGATCATTCCTATATACTTAATTATCTAAATACCTACAAAGTGCAATGCAAAAAGTTAGCCATTCATGATATTCACAAATGGTAAGAGAAAGGCAACAGGAGTTCAAAAGACGAAGCCCAGAAGGGGACATAGTGAGTGGCTGTGCCAATGTCCGCAGTCCACTGCAGTTTAGGCAAAGACGCAGGACATTGCCCAAGTTATTGGAGGGGAACGTGACCCATGGCAACAACGGAACGGTGGCAGCGAGAGACAATTAGTCTTTGTCCAAGTGCTACTGAGATCGGAGGCATACATGAGCATCTAACAGAGGCTGAGGAGGTACAAGATTACCTGCCTAGCTGTATGAGGCTATATGTAAGATGAATTCCTATAAATGCAATTGCTGAGTTAAATGCTATGTGCCTTTAAAAGGAAAAGATTAATTTTAAAAGGAAAAAGCATGATGTATAGAATAAACCAAGCATCACACTTGATAGGTAGGAGCAACAGAGTGGGAGAAGGGAGGTAAGCTGGAGCAAGGCAAGATGGCTCAGTGCTGTCAGGGCAGGGCAGGGGGTAGGTACCAGCACTGACATCACAGAAAACTCCTAGGGATTCCAGTTTCGCTTTACTCTTTGCATTAACAGTGCCCCCAGAGCAGAAACCTGAAAAAGGAGGAGGGCAGGAGCCATGTGACTATCTCGGAGGAGATTCTGCGTTGACTGAAGAACATTAAGGAGACCCGTGTGACTGAAGCAGTCGGTGTGAAGGTGAGCGCTAGAAAACGTGTGTACAAGTTTGCTTGTGAATAAACTCGTCTTACGCCATTTTTAGTTTAGAGGATTGATATGCAAGGCCACTAAATAGTTTTTACTCGGCATTCCAACTCAAAGTTAAAGAATGAGAAAACTGTAATACTGCTGCAATCCACCATAAAGCAGGAAGTTCCATGAGCAACAACTGTGGGGAAATTCCCATGGGCCGGGTGGCCCCGGCTCGGGCAGAGGGAGGGACATCGCCATGCAGCTGTCTAAGTCAGGCTGCTGTGCACGGAACTCCCATTATATGCCATCGATAACTCTGACTCCGTTTCCTCCCCATTCTTTCCAAAAAGTTCTCAGCATACTGAAGAAAGGTTCTTAACTTTATAATGATAAATAATGTAGTAGATTTCCTTTATTTTAAAACTTCAACAATAACAACAACAACAAAAACTCTCAGTGTCTAAGCTCAGCTCAATAACAGAACAAATTGAGTTCCCAACTAATACACACATGAGTATATAACTCTACTAGGGCACATCTGTTGTATCAAGAGAAGGCTGTGTCTATTTACATTATTTGCCAGTCTGCTTTGTCTTTAGTAATAAGTTTTAAATTGAAAAACGCTTCCTATTCCAGAGGACAGTACCACACATCTTGAGCCCTGAGAATCTGGCTTGGATAACTGGTATTCAGACTAGTGTTCTAGTTTTTCAAGTCATTCATTTAATAAAGCAGAAGTATAAGTTTTGCACTCAGACTGAAAGTGGGCCTTAAACTAAACCTGCACACCACAGAGACGCAACACACAACTCTACTTTTATAATACCCAATGGTCAACCTAAGATATAACAGGCTCCTATCAAGTAACCTCAGAAATCACCTAAATTATATATTCAATACACATTTTTAGATTAATCCAAAAAAATTATTTGCTCAAAGAGCTCAGCAATAAAACCCGAGGAAGGAGAAAATAATGTTTAACAGCAGTACAGAGACTAAATATGGCTATAGAGAGTTAGGCATTACGAAGTGATGGTAATTCATATGGCAAGAAACTTAAAGTTCAGAAGCATACTATTTACCCAAAAAACATACTTTTTCCTTACTTCATTGGTTTCTCCAGTTTCTCTCTTCTCTTTGTGCAGCCCCATATGCATCTTTCAAGGTTCACTTGGTGTTGCTTCTGCAATTGCAATCCAGTCCTACAAAAGAAGTGTCATATCATCACTTCACAAGAAAAGAGATAAAGTGTATTCTAGGAAGCTGAGTTATCCAATCTCATCAATCTCCTTTTCTAATTCATTTTCACCAAAACTATACACAAACAGAAAAACAAAGACGGTGGGGAAAGCAAAAGAGGTCGTTAAAAAATGAACTAGCAATTTAAAACGATTAAAATACTAGCAGAAACAGAAAAATAAAAGGTAAACTTGATTGTGACAATAGATCAGAACAAGATGATTCATTAAAATCTCTTTCCACCAATGAGTTTCCATCACTCCTAAGTTTGAGATGGCTTAGCAGAAATGATATAATTACAACTTCAAGGATGCATACCATTAAGGATGTGCTATCTTCTGATGCTCTTCCATTCAAAGCCCTGGCATTCTCCTGACATGGATTCTAGAAGGTAAAAAAAAAAAAAAAAAAAAAAAGTCTAGACTGTGAGTTTCAGGCTACAGAGGGAGCTATATATTATCTTCATCTTTGTCTCCGACCCTTATCCCTATGTTGTCCCATTCTACCCTATGTCAAGGATGGCACACAGTAACTCTTGGTAAATGAATAGATAGTAATATGTTTCCAACAAACCACCACAGATATTTCATGCAGTCTTAAAATCACTTGGGAAAGAGTTGAAAAACCATTGCTTTGGGGTTCTTTCTTTCTTTCCCAAAGCATTCTCTTCGGTTAAGGTGCCCATTAGCAGTAATATGGCCCAACAGTGGGTATATCAGAGGGTCTCAGAACTTTGAACAGTACATGAGAGAGAGTGTGGACAGTGGGTATCTGAATGTGAACAAGTCTGCCCCTCAAAAAAGCACCCCTCACCAGAGTAGCTCCCAGTGATCTTTCACTATCATCTTAGGTCTTTAATATACACATATTAATCTGCATCAGGAACTGTTCTAAGAGCTTTAACTACATTAACTAACAATCTTTATAACAACCCTATGAGGTAGATTCTATTATTCTAATTGCCCAGATGAGGAAACTAAGGTACAGGAAGTTTTGTATAGAAAATTGTGCAAGGAAATGCACTATAAGCTGCTGTTCACAGGCAGGGTTCCCGGGCGGATATAACCTTGCAGGGAGCTGTAGTCCCATACACCTATTTCACATTCTTCTACTGCTGTCATGGTACAATAGCTCAATGTCTAAGTTAGCTCTTGTTGGAAAATTTTCCTAATTAATTTATTTTAAATGCTTAATTCTCTGCCACTTTAAAAAACCCAACCTTTTCTTAATTTAAAAAAATTATCCAGCAAACATCACAAAAAGGAACTCTTCATAATTTATGGACAGCAGAAGCAATAATTATTTTCAGCTGAATACTTACATTCACCCACTACTTCAGCTTATTACATTTATTCCGGATATTCTGCCATGCTTACCAGATCCTTTCTAATTTTAAAACTACAAATCTCTCACTGAAACAAGGCATTTATTCTCTAACTCTCTAGTTCAGTTGATTGGGACCCGGTGCTGATGACGTCCAAAGCTGTGGGTTCAATCCACCACAAACCACTGTGCTTTGTTTGTTTCATGTCTACAAACTCTTAGCCTGGATGGCATGTTTTGGGTCCTAAGAGGAACCAGGTGGGAGGGTGCAAGACAAGTAGCATAAAAAACAACTGCTAGAGAAACAAGTCCTCATACAGCACAGGGGCAGACGCACAACTACGGAGCAGAAGCATCAAGTTCCTTCGTAAGAAGTTTCGTGACCGCGGGCAAAGCACTTCTCCCTTTCTGAGTAAGACGCTCTTCTCAAGCTCAGACCTTTTGCCAGAATCTAACCTAAAGTCCCTCCTTCAAAAAATAAAACAGGCATAAGATATTAAGGTTTTTAGTTTTTGCACCAGCTGTGCTTGATCTGAAAACAGAAACTGCTTATTCCTGACACCAATTCCACTGACAATAAAAAGCACTTGTGATGGTTTTCAAAAGTGTCACAAAAATCTCTAGCAGTGCAACATAGCAAACCATCAGAAAAATCTTACTGCAATTCTGTATGTCTATCTTACATTCTTTAGTTTTCATAAAATCAAAAGCTGCTCCATCTCCAAATAATATAAAGTTATTTTAAACATGCTTTTCAAATTAAATGAAAAAACCAACCCTTCCCAACCCAGATCACATTTTTAAAACAAGCAAGGGCCCACTCAAAGGTAGAAGTTTTACCAGTTTCTACAAGTAAAAATGAAAAAGCAAAACTATATTCCTTAATTGTTATTTTAGGAAGAAACCCACTTGGGATCATTCATCTTCGCATTTTCTTGCCCACAGCTGGAAAGAACTTTCCCAATGTACTAATGCTACAAAGCACATGGGTTCCAATAGTCACAAGGTAACTATGACAGCAAAGCCATAGTTATTTATGAGATCACAAAAACTATATGATGTAATTTTTTAAATTTGAAGTAAAATTCACATAACATAAAGTTAGCCATTTTAAAGTGTACAATTTAGTGGCATTTAGTATATTCACAATGTAGTACAACCATCACATCTATCTAGTTCCAAAACATTTCAGTCATCCCAAAATGAAACCTTGTACTCATTAAGCAGTCACTCCTGTTCCCCTTGCTTCAACCCCTGGCAACCACTAATATGCTTTATGTCTCCATGAATTTATCTATTCCGGATATTTCATATAAATGCAATCACACAAGATGTGATTTTTCATGTCTGCCTCCTTTCACTTAGCATGTTTTGAGGTTCCTCCACATCGCAGCATGCATCAGTACCTTATTCCTTCTTACGGCTGAAAAATACTCCATTGTATGGATATATCACATTTTGTTCATCCATTCATCCACTGAGGGACATGTGGGTTGTTTCTACCTTTTGACTACTGCAAATAGTGCTGCCATGGACATCTGTGTGCAAGTATTTGTTTGAATATCTGTCTTCAGCTATTTGGGGTATATATGCAGAAGCAGAATTGCTGGCTCATACAGTAATTCTGTATTTAACTTTATGAGGATCAGCCAAACTGTCTTCCACAGTGGCTACACAATTTTACATTCTTACCAGCAAAGCACAAGGGTTCTAACATCCTCATCAACACTTCATTATTTTCTGTTTTGGTACATTTTTAAAATTATAGTCATCTTTGTGGGTATGAAGTTGTACCTCATTGTGATTTTGACTTATGTTTCCTTAATGACCAATGATGTTGAACATCTTTTCATGTTTGGCCATTTGTATATCTTCTCTGGATAAATGTCCAAGTCTTTGCCCATATTTTAATTGGGTTGCAAGTCTTTTTGTTGTTGAGTTGTAAGAGTTGTTTTTTTTTTTTAATATATTTCGGATACTAGGCCCTTATCAGATTTGCATATTTTCTCCCATTCTGTAGATTGTCTTTCGACTTTCTCAATAATGTTCTTTGATGCACAAGATTGTATATTTTGATGGAGTCCAAAATATCTATTTTTTTCTTTTTGTTGCTTATGCTATTGGTGTCATTTCTGAGAATCCATTACCAAATCCAAGGTTGTGAAGATTTACCTTTATGTTTTAAAAGTTTTGGCATTTACAGTTAGGTCTTTGATTCATTTTGAGTTAATTTTAGTACATGGTGTAAGGCTGGAATCCAACTTCACTCTTTTGCATGTGGATGTCCAACTGTCCAGCACCATTTGTTGAAGAGATTGTCCTTTCCCCCACTGAATGAACTTGGCACCCTTATCAAAAACCAATTGACCATTTAGATCTATGGGTTTATTTCTGGAGTTTCAATTCTATTCTATTGATCAATCTGTCCATTATGTCAGAACCGCACTGATTTAATTATTATTGCTTTTTTAAAATTGGGAAGCATGAGTTCTCCAACTATATCTTTCTTTTTCAAGATCGACTATTCGGATTCCCTGGCAATTCCATATGAATTTTAGGTTTTAGTATCAACTTTTCCATTTATGTATAAAAGCCGGCCATGATTTGAATAGAGATTGCATTGAATCTGTAGATCACTTTGGGTAGTACTGCATCTTTACAGTATCAAGTCTTCCAAAACCATGGATGTCGGGATATCTTTCCATTCTATGATATAATTTTACCTTAAAATGTCCTTGATAAGGTAATGCCTAACTTCCTTTAGTTGTATTTCTAGGTAATCTACTAAGTACATACTGGAGTAAGTCACAAATATGAAGCTTATACTTGCCACAGAGAGTCCAATTTCATAGCCCAGAGAAGAAATGTCAATTATTCAAGGTCTTGCTGTACGCTTTTGCCTATGCAAAAGTTCAGAACTCAAGGATTTTCATTTCCCTGATTCATAGTTAATTTTCATCATCTTCAGTTCCTAGTGGAGGAATTGATATACATGAATCTTATATGTTTACTGATAAGAGTAAGTTGTTTAATAGACTTCACCAAATAGTATCATGAACTCTCTTTCATTTAGTTCAAATCCAAAAACAGTGATTATGAAACATTAGCTACTTTGCCAAAGATTGTGCTCAAACACACTTGGTTAGTTAAAGTATCAACTATAATTGGGACGGAGGGGAGGAAGTCTTTATAAGTCTTTTCTTTAAAATTTTTTTGCTAAGGACTATGACAGAACAATTGTTTGAAGTTATAAATGTAACTTGGGCTGGACACAATCTGTTCTTTGCACTTACATCAAAATTAGAACTGAAGACATCACAGTAACCCAGGAAAAATAACTGTGGCTTTTTCTAAGACTAGCAATTTCAAGGAAATTATAGATTCCCCAAAAGTACAAGTCATCTTAAGACCAGTAGATTATTAGTCTGAGGGACAGTGATTGCTTCAATTCCCAAGTTTGGTGTCAACTTTTCAAAAGTTTGTTTGTTTTTAATCTCCTCTCAACATATGGGGTCACACAGGACTCCAGTCCAAGGTGATCCAACAATATCAAAAGGATTTTAAGACTCAAACTGCTTATAAATAACTTCAATCAGAAAATACCATCTGGTGTTGGAATAAACAACTAGCAACCAAATCC